CTTATGGGACCAGCAGTTGGCATAATGGCTATGTTGCTGGACTCCCAAGTGGTCGGCAGTGGTTCGAGCCCCGGACCCGGTGGCTTAAAACTCACACTGGGTGCGTGTGCGTGCGTGCCCAGGATCCCAAGGGGAGAATGTAGGAGAGGGGATTGTGGCATGGCCTTTCCCCTGGGGGATGATTTCTCACTTTCTGTCTTTCTGTCTCTCTCTGTCTGTCTGGTGAGCACATGCACCCTATAGCAAAAAAAAAGAAAAAAAAAAGCCTTACTGGATTTTTGGTGAGATCAACATTGTACTTCCGATGCAGTTTTCAAGGCTCACCTTCTCCATAAGATCTCCTCTGGTTACTGCAACCCACATTTTATTACTCATGTCTCTAAACTCCCATGAACGGACAATTATTTCGTCTGCAATCCTTTCTTGCAATGGACTTTGGAAGTCCTCCTGGATTAGAAGCACCTGGAAGGCAGGGTCTGATATCTCGTCCACAATTTCCAATAAAGTACTGGCCCATGCAGGGCACTCAGTAAATGCTTACCTTCATAATTTCCACAAATTCGTGAAGTTTATCAAAATCCTTGTCCATTATATCCTTTATCTAATGGAGAAGAAAGGCATGACTTGACAAAGCATAGAACATAGTACTGAAGTCAGTTGTGGCATCTCTGGGGCGTTCTGAGCAAAGGGCAGCAGCTGTTCTTCTAGAGTGAACTAACATGGTCACTTTCTTTCCAAGGACTCTGTGACGGGTCTAGGGCACACATGCCATCAAGGTATTGCCACCGCCAGCCCTGGCATAGCTTAGCTCTGGCTGCCACCAGGCTTCCGTGTAGAGCTCAAACCACCGCTGCAGTTACAGCTTTTTGCTTGACGAGTCCCCCTCTCCTAAGTAAGCTAGAGGCGGCTGGATCATAGAAACCAGGAGAGGTGAGTGAGGAGGGGGATCTGGTCCCAGCTGCTCCCGATTCCAGGTCAGTCCCTCTTACTCAGCTTTATCACTAAGCTCATGTCACCCCAACCTGATCAATGAGACACATTTAAGGGAGTCCTTGGTCATCAAACATTGGGTGTAGACATCAAACAAATAAGAAACGGACTATGCTGCCCTCATGCACTAGGGCCGACTAAATTTGGTGGCTTCTTTCATGTAACTCCTGAAGTCACTATGCAAAGTTAGGAACTGCATTTTTCTTGAAGCTACAATTTCCTCCATGTTGTGGAAAGTTTCATCCTGTTACCTGTTTTATCTCCTCCATTTTTTCCTTCAGCTCTTCCCTCACCTCCCTAAGTTCATTCTGAGGAAATAAAATGGGGAAAAAGAGGGAATAAAGAAAAGTTTTGGATGAAAAGTAAACCATCAATAAAAGGAAAGTAAAGATATTGGGGGGGGTAACTAAATGAGGAACAAGAGGTACATGAGGTCTTCAAAGTGTTCATGGAAAATATGTATTACAAAAATGTGATGCATGGATTTCATTATTTTTTGGACACTAAGGTACACTAGTACTTTAATTCCATTTTTTCATGAAATTTTTGAAGTACTCTCATGCTCCTATTACGGAGGAGAGAAAGGATGCTGTTAAGATGATAGGTTAGAGGAAGTGATAGCGTCAGGGGCCTGCTGTTAGCTTGCACGGTATAGGGCCCACCGTTGCTTGTCTGACAAGCCTGTCAAAAATGCGTAGCCTGAATCTCATCATGAGGAAGCAACAGACAAGCCCAAATTAAGGGTCATTCTACAGAATAAATAATCTGTAATTTTAAAAAATGTTGGTGTCCCACAAGACAAAGGTTGAAGAACTGTTCCAATTAATTGAAAATAAAGAGACATATGCTTACAGGCAATGTGTGAACATGAATTAGATCCAAGCCTAGAAATGTTTTTCCCCTCTTTGGTTATAAAAGACATTAGTGGGGACCAACAGGTGGCATGGTGGTTAAGGCACTGGGCACTCCCACATGGCCAACCACGGTTGTAGACCCGGACCTGGTGGCTTGCTTTCTCATTTCTCTCTCTCTCTTTGTTTGTCTCTCTCTGGTCAAATTAAAATAAATGAATAAATAAATAAAATAAAATAAATAATTCTTTAAAAATATATAAATAAAAATAAAAGACACTAGTGGGGAGAGTTGTTGGCATGGTGATTTGGATGACTGAATCCCACATGGTTGACTGCATGATTCTGGACCTGGAGGCTTGAAAACATGATAGGTGTGTGTGTGTGTGTGTGTGTGTGTGTGTGTGTGCGCGCGCGCGCATACAGAAAATCCCAAGAGAAGAATGGAGGAGAGGGGATTGAAGTGTGTCCATCCCCTCTGAGAGGTGCTTCCTAGCTTCCCATCTCTCTCTGTCTCTGGCGAGCACACACACCCTATAGCAAATTAAAATGAGCAAATAAATAAATAAATAATTTTAATGCTAAAAAAATAATTAGTGGGATGATTGGTGAAATTAGGAAAAGGGCTAGACATTAGTACTCTGTGTGTTAATTTCCCGATTTTGATCATTGTACTGTGGCTATATTAAGAGAATATTCTTGCTTTTAGGAAATCCATACTGAAGATTTGGGGAAATTGTACTCTCAAATGGTTCAGTACATACATACAAAGGGACTTAAGAAAGTTTGTGGGAAATGGAATTAAAATTGGAGTTTATCTTGGTGCAAAAATTATTTTGAAATCCACACATAGTTTTCCAACATTTGGGGAATCTGAGTGAGGGGTATTACTAGAATTTATTGTACTATTTATTACAACTTTTCTTAAGTCTGAAATTATTTCAAAATAAAAAGAAAGAAAGCCCATAGGGAACGAGGTCACAGGGGTGTAGGTGTCTGTGGGCAGGCCACCATGCTGACCACCATGTCCCTGTGCTGACCCCCACTCCCTCACCACCAGGGGCCACACACTTGCCTTCAGCTCCTGTGTCACTAATGTTTTGGTAAATGGCCTTTCTTTAATTCCTTTGTAATCATAGGTCTGTCGATTCAAACAGAATCACGGAATATTAGTAATTGCGCGTGTACAGTGGGATTGCAGAGGCAGGAGAAGCCCTGAGTTTCTGTCCTTCCCTCGGGGCAAGGACGGAGGCCAAGCCACTGGCCCTGCCTGGGCAGAGGTCCCCCCATCCTTCTCCTCCTTTGCTCTCATCTCATTCAACAACCCTGGGCACTGGGCCTAGCTCCATCTGTCCCTCCCACAGCCACCCTGTTCCCACCCTGGGCCTGTGTGTGTGCTGCATCCCCTGCCCAGAAAGCTTCTCAGGCTTTGCATGGTTGGCGTCTTGTCCTTAAGCCCTCAATCAAATGAAGACCCTTCCTGACCCTCTGAGAGCAGCCACCTGGCCAGGTCTCCCCATCTTAATATCCTCTGCATACCAGGTAACCGACTGACTTTGCCTTGCTTCCTGGCGTATCTGACTTGTTACTAGTGTGACGTTCTATGAAAGCAAAGAGCTCGTCTCTCTCTGTATCCTCCAGCACCTGGGACAGGTCTTGGCTACCAGCAACAGCGAAGGACCCCTGACTCCAGGTCACCTCCCCACGGATCTCAGGCCTGGCTGCTGGCATGGCCTCCAAACAGCTTCTTACTTTGGTCGGCTCTGGCTTCAATTCCAGGCAGACTGCCTTGTAGTTCTTGCTCTGCAGAAAGAGGAGGCAAGGGTTCAGCCTGTCAGGCACCAGCACTGGGGGAACATAATATCCAACCCCTGCAAGGGGACTCCACACCCAACCATGCCTGACTACGTCTGAGCCCAGGCCCAAATAGCCCCAGTGCCCCGATCTGACTCAGGACAACCCACACTGGGGAGTCTTCTTCTCAGGAGCCACCCAGCTCATGCAGCAGGTCGCTCGCCCTGCTGGGGACCTGGTGGAGAAGGCCCTCGGAGATGACGTTAAGCAAGTGGCACATTGTGGGCCCTGGGGGCAGACGACTGGCTCTAATCTCAGCTGTCTTCTTGACCAGCTCTGTCAATTTGGGAAAGCTATTAATATTGAGCCCTCTGAGCCTCCATTCCTATCTGTAAAATGCAGATGTTAATAATGAGGCTATTTTGCCTTGGATCTGCTAGTGAAATGGAGGCCCATGGGGCCTGTCCTGGGGTCCTGAAACTGTCAGTGGCCTTGGTGGGGGAGCATTACTGGCCGACTTTGCCTTGTCCCCAGGGGTAGTCGCAGCCTCTCTCCTTCCCACCAAAGGCTGGAGATTAGAACCACACCCACTGCAGGCTGACAGGCCACTTGGTGCCTGCCACAGAGTAAGGAAAGCCAGAGACTTGACGGCCGTCTCTGCCCACTCCCTCGCCCCATCTTCTCTCGGCCGGTGCGCAGAGGCTCCGCGCTGGCCGGCAGTGCCTCTCCTTTACCAGATTTGTCTTCTTCATCTCTGCCCTGTTGGCCGACATGATGGAGGAGGCCAGAGTGATCTCCACTTCCCACCTCCCCACACCGCCCCCAGACCAGGCCTCTGTCCTGTGCAACTTACAGGCCAAGGTGAGAGCAGGGTGGCCACCTCTGTGTGTGTGGGAGGCTCCGCGCTGGCCGGCAGTGCCTGCCTCTCCTTTACCAGATTTGTCTTCTTCATCTCTGCCCTGTTGGCCGACATGATGGAGGAGGCCAGAGTGATCTCCACTTCCCACCTCCCCACACCGCCCCCAGACCAGGCCTCTGTCCTGTGCAACTTACAGGCCAAGGTGAGAGCAGGGTGGCCACCTCTGTGTGTGTGGAACAGCTGAGGTCACAATGCCCAGGGCCACATGCTGCTGCAGTGTCAGACCTGGGGTGCGCTGAGGGGGCTCCTCCTGCTGCCAGGAGAGACGCTCCCTGGACGGGCCATGCCCGCAGGGACCCTGGCCTGTGATGGCAGAACACAAGGCACCCTCAGAAGAAGCAGAGGCTCCTCCGCAACAGGGCCAGTCTCGGCTGACTAGGACGGCAGGTCACCTGAGCGCCCGCCCTTGCTCTGCTGAACGGACTCTCCCTTGACTGGAAGCGGCCTCAGGGTAGGTGCTCACAGACTCGGATTCAATGGACATGTGCCATCCTCACCCAGGGTTCCCTGTCTTGTGTGTTGGGGAGGGAGAACGGCACTAGTCTCAGCTGAATCACTTCTTCTTTTTTTTTTTTTGGAGAGATTTTTGCTATAGGGCGCGTGCGCTTGCCAGGAAGACAGAGTCAGAGAGACAGAAAGTGAGAAACCACCTCCCAGGGGGGATGGCCATGCCATAATCTCTTCTCCTCCATTCTCCTCTCGGGATCTTGGGCACACACGCACACGCGCCCAGTGTGAGTTTAAGCCACTGGGTCTGAGACTCAAACTGTGGTCGACTACATGGGAGTCCAGTGACATAGCCATTATGCCAACTGCTGGTCCTGAATCACTTCTTATTTAAAAACAATTCTCAGGCCAGTAGGTGGTGGATTCCCACATGGCTGACCATGGTTCGAGTCTTAAACCTGGTGGCTTGAAAATCATTCTGGGTGTGTGTGCATGCTTACCTAAAATCCCAAGAAGAGAATGGAGGAGCAGGGATTGTGGTGTGGCCATCTCCCCTGGGGGGGGATTTCTCACTTTCACTCTGTCGGTCTCTCTCTGTCAGGCGCATGTACCCTATGGCAAAAATCTAAAAAAAAAAAAAAGTTTATATATTTCTTCCATGAGCAAGAGAGACACAGAAAGAAACAGAGACACCCCTCCAGAGGGTCCTGCCTCCACCCCCAGCCTCAGCCAGCCCCAGACCAGGGGCACGTGAGTGCCTGGTGTTCTCAAGAGAGGGCTCTGGATGTGAACTCGGAACCTTCTCGTGTGGGTCAGCCTTGCAGAGCATCAGGTGTTACTGCTGCACCATGGTCCAGTCCTTTGGCAGAATGACTTCTGATGCCTCTGGCCTCCTGGCTGTCTCTGTCCTCCACCTCCCAGTCTCTCCTCATGGTTCTTCTGCCATCCTGGGAGTGGGTTGGAGCAAGAAGCATGGACAGCGCTGAAAGGAAGACTCTTCCAGGGGAAACAATAACCCTAAAGAGGTCATCCTGGGGGGAGCCCTAACTTGTGCTTACTGGGGAGAGTCAGGGGCCTAGCTTCACCCAGGGGCTGGAGAGCCTCTTTTCCTCTTGTCACTGACATTCCATTTCCTTCTTCCCTCCTCCCCACCCTTTTTTTTAAACAGAGATTTTTGCTACAGGGTGTGTGTGCTTGTTAGAGAGACACAGAAAGTGAGAAATCACTCCAGGGGCGAGGGGAGGGTGGATTGGGAAGAGGTGATGACCACTCTGCAATTCCATCTCCTCCATTCTACTCTCGGGGTTTGGGGCACGTATACTCACACCCCTGGCATGAGTTTTAAACTGCCAAGTCCAGGACTCGAACTGCAGTCAACTACATGGGAGTCCAACGATGTAACCATTACGCCATCTGCTGCTCCCTCTTCCCTCCCTCTTCCCTCTTTTTTTTACTGACTAGCTTTCTGATGACAGAGCGCAACCATGCAGGAATGGAACCACGGCATGTGGGCTGTGTGACCATACTGTAATCGTCACACACACGTCTCTGCTGTGTGTCCACTGTGGGTCTGTCCCACCAGAGCTGCTTGAGTGCTTCCTGTTTGTGTTGGCAAATACATCACTGCTGTTGTCAGTGTGTTCTGGAAGGACCACAGGAATGCATCTGGTGAACGCGAATTAATGTCTCACCAGTCTCCTTCTCTAAGGAGATTTTGCAGCTGCGTGGGCCCCGGGTTGGAGCAGCTTGCAATTCTGGACGTGGTCGGGCTATAACCTTACACGAAATAAGCCAGGGGCCGCCCGTGCCCAAAGAGACCAGATATGCTTTTCCTAACCCCCTTCACAGCAAAATCCACTGTATCAGGGCAAGGAGCATAAAGCCACCAACGTTCCCTCAGAGTCTGGAGAAAGGGCTGCTCACGGTAGAGGAGGAGGCAACCACTGGCCTTTTTTCTCCAGGCTGGCGTCATGTGGGTTTCCTTTTCCGAGCAACGATCCTATGTTTTTAGTTTTATGAAGACGATGTTGAATGCAGAGGATGGTGAGGGGATTGAAAAATGGCTTTAGGCCTCTGAGCTTGGTCTCTTATGATTCTAAGGGTACATATTCCAGGATCTGGCCTATGATGAAGCCCAGGCTCAGCCACCACCTGTGTGAAGCCCAGAGACCTCTAAGAGAATGTCAGGCATGCCTAGGGGCCGGTTTGACCACTGCGGCCCCGTGTTCTGAAGCCCTTTGATTAGGGTGGGTTGTTCATTTCATAAAGGTGCCCGGAGTCCCAACTGCTATGGACTGCAGTGAACCTCAGACTGACAGGGTTCAACACACAAGCCAGGGGGTGGGGGTGGATGATGGGGTTAAAAGGGACATCATTATCACATGTGGAGAGTCACTTTGTCCTTGAGGCCAGCTTTGTCAGATATGCCCAGTCATGTGGTGTGTACCCAATAATTCCTTCCCTTTAGGACTACCCCCATTGCATACTTATAATGAAATAAGTAAAATATTGCAAGGAAATGAAGCTAGTGAAACTACTGAGAGGATGAAACATGAAGGAACTTTAAAAATATTCATGAGAAAGCAGAATTACATTATAAGTTTACTTTGATGCAAAAAAAAATTTGAAATCTATACATAGTTTTTCCATAATACGTATTTTTCCATGAACTTTAAAAAAAAAAACCTTGTCTTCCCATAATTGGCATAGAAAATTATATGAAGTAGAACAGGGCAAAGCAGAAAGTTCACATGCACTCACACAGTTATATGAAACAAAAAGTAATTTCAAAGGTAAGGAGATTAAAATCAGAGGTAATAAGCATATTAGGTTAATGGAAAGAAAAATTCTCAACTTAGATACATAATATTAACCCAGGAAACATTCGCTTGTAGAGAAATCAAGTAGGACCAGCAAATGGTGTAATGGTTACATCGCTAGACTCCCATGTAATTGACTGTGGTTCAAGTCCTGGACCCAGCAGCTTAAATCTCACTCTGGGCACATGTGCATGTGTGCCCAATATCCCAAGAGAAAAACGGAGGAGAAGGGACTGTGGCATGGCCATTCCCCCAGGGGTGATTTCTCACTGTCTGTTACTCTGTCTCTCTGGCAAGCACACGCTCCCTATAGCAAAAATTTCTCCAAAAAGAAAGAAAGTAGAATTGGCATTATATATATATATACATATATATATATATTTTTTTTTTTTTGGAGAGGTTTTCACTATAGTGCGCGTGCGCTCACCAGACAGAGACATAGAGACAGAAAGCGAGAAATCACCCCCCAGGGGGGATGGTCACGCCGCAATCCCTTCTCCTCCATTCTCCTCTCGGGATCTTGAGCATGCACGCACACGCGCCCGGCGTGAATTTTAAGCCACCGGGTCCGGGACGTGAACCGCGGTCGACTACGTGGGAGTCCAGCGACATAGCCATTACGCTAACTGCTGGTTCCCAAATTGGCATTATATTTAAGACCATTTATTATATCAGCATTTAAACTGGAGGAGAAAAAGGAAATAATGAGTACAGGCAGGGGTAGCAGAGAGTCTAAGGGCATGTTCATCCTTCATCTTCAGCCCCAGTTGAAACAGTTCAAATGGAAGGAAGCAGGTCTGGCTGCTGGAAAGAACTGGCCCCTAGGGGGCGCCCTGGAACAAAGGAACCTGGTGTATCTCCCCAAAGATTCCAAGTACCCAAGGAAGATTCCAGCAACCTGCCCCAGCTCCCCACCCCCTGTTCTCCCCAACTAGCCCTGGGCTGTAGCAGAACTTTTTCCTCAAGCCAAAGGGCCGCCTGAGGCACAGCTGACTTCACCAGGTCACATCCATATCTACACAATCAACAGAAAACACTTTATATCCATTCATTCATTCAGTAAGCCTGACCAGTACACCAGAGTGGATTGGGCTATGAGCTGAATAAACGGGCCACAGTAAGCAGGGATGAAGGGAAACAGCCTCTCACTGCATAAGCCCCTCTTGCAGGGGCTGGGGGGAAGGTGGCCCGAGGTGAGCCAGCTCACTTCACAGCCACCCCTTTATTAAAAGGCAAGATATGGAATCATATGCACACCGTGACAGTAGGGTGCAAAAAGCAGTAAGAGGGCTGGCGGGTGGTGTAGTGGTTAAGATGCCCACATGGCCGACCATGGTTCAAGTCCCAGACCCAGTGGCTTGAAAAAAATCATGTCTGGTGTGTGTGTGCATGCCCAAAATCCTGAGAGGAGGTTTTTTCCTCTCGTTGTCTCTCTCTAGCAAGTGCATGTACTGTATGGCAAAAACCTAAAAAATAAAAGGCGGTGGGTCTGCTTGTAGCTCTGCAGTGTCCACTAAACAAATGAGGTGCAGCAGGTGCTTGGGGCCAGTGGTCACCGTGGGTGGTTCTCAGCCACACGGCTGAGAGGGCCTTTCTGGGTGCATGTGCTGTCCCTGTATTACTCTCAGGTCACAGTCCTGGTCACCAGCTCAAAATACAGTCTATCGGGGTGAACAGAACAACCTCCCTCTCTCTTCAGGGACTGGAACTAACAACGTTCACTGAGCTTTTCCATGGGCCTGGACTGAATCCACTGGTCTGTGCGTTTCCTCCAGTCGCCTGGGCAGAAGGACAGCTGCGTGGGTCTCAGGCTTTCAGAACATGCCTGGCCACTGAGGTGACCCAGCTGTGGTGGAGGTGGCAGATCTGAAGTGACCCTAAGTAAGAACTGGGAAAATGGAAGTCTCATTGGTGAGTAGTGTAGACAAGACCCAATGCAAGACCCAGGCTCTTTGTTCTTCCCCTATAGGGTGCGTGTGTGTGTGTGTGTGTCAGGAACAGTTCTGTAAATACATAAGGTTGAATTTCTTATATGGCAGGATGAGAAATCAGAGTCAAAGTTAAGGTGACTTCCGTGTTGCCAAGGGAGTAGAATAACCGAAACTGGCACTCGTGCACTGCTGGTGGGGTGGGAAATGATGCAGACACTCTGGAAAAGAGCTGCACCGAGGGGTAGCAGAATGGGCCACCCCAGGACCCACCAAGTCATATTTTGAGCTGAAGGCAACTGAGAAAAAGTCAAACAAGGAGAGCCCTCTGCCCTCCACCCCCTCTCCTTACTACCGGGAAGGACAGAGGTGAATCACTGCAGAGAACTCGAGGCCTTTACAGTCAGAGACGGCGCCTGCGGAATCCACAGAGCACACGTACCTCAGCCCTTTCCTACTTCCCCTCCATTCACCTTCCGCAATTCACCACTCCTCAAGGTCCCCTCCCCCTGTCTTGTCACTTCTTTAACAATCTACCATCCTTCTGTGAAGGTGCTGTGGAGATAAGCCCACGTGCTCGTCACTCCTGAGTCACCCGTGCTGAGTCTCCCAGGGTCTGCCAGGCGCACACGTTCATAGACTGCATTTGATTTTTCTCTTGTCAATCTGTTGTTTGCCAGTCTAATTTATAGGGCCCTGGCTAAAGAACTCAGGAGTCAGAGGAAAAACGAATTCTCTCCCTCATTGCGGTTTCTTACAAATGTACACCCATCTCAGCCGATAACCCAGAAATCCATCTTGCCCGATAACCCAGCCATCCCACCTCTAGGCATTTCCACGGAGAAAAAGGACCTATGTCCAAACAAATGGGTGTTTGTGAATGTTCGGAGCAACTTCGTTCATAATGGCTCCAAACTGGAAGCAATGCCACCCACCAGCAGGAGAGCGAGGCCGGATTGGATATATCCACACAATGGAATACAACCTAGCAACGAATGGAAGTGAACTATGCCACACACATCCCAGGGAAGGCTCACTCCGAGTGCAATGCCAGGGAACTCACCTCCGGAATGTGAAAGCGATCTGTGGCTGTCCGAGGCTGGATGGGAGGAGGGCTTGCTGGCAAAGGGCAGTAGGGAAGGCGGTGACGCTGGAGTGCACCGCTTGCCGGACCGATCTGGCCACACACTTAGAGTAGGTGCCTTTTACTGTGTGCAGACCCTAAAACGTGTGCGCTGAGGTGGAGCCGGTCATGCCGTGTAAGGTCTCTTACAAGCTGGAGTTGGTGGAGTCCGTCAGTCAGGACTACAATGATGGCACCAAATCCTCGTAATGCCATCGGGCAGTTGCCCTGGTTACCCCCGTCTTGCAGATAAGGAAGGAAGACTCAGAGAAAGGCGCTCAAGGTGGCTGCAGGGTTCATGCCCGGAGCCTGCATGGCTGGTCCGCTGAGGCATAGTGGGCACCAGGCACGTCCCCGACGGAGGCCCAGGCAGTTGTGAGCAGCTCACTTAGCGGGAGACCCCCGTGTGCTCTGGAGGTGCCGAGCGCTGGTCCAAGCAAACGCAGCTTCTGCTTCAGGGGCACGACCTGGTGGTCTGGGAGAAGAGGCGTGGCTTGTGGGAAAGTGGACGCTGTCCACCTGTGAGAAAAGTTGTATTGCAGCTGGTGGACATGGCGCTCCTACTTAGGGAAACAGGAAGGATGTCCAGGGAGTTTCCACGATCTGTTTCGCTCCCTGCAACTCATGCAAACCGAATGTTTGTTACTGGGTCGCTGGGGGCACCCAGTGCTCCTCACTTTCTGTCATCCTTTGACCCTGGCTTGGACTTCCTAGCACAACGACCAAAGAAACTCAGAGCTGCCCTTCCTCCTCCTCCCCAGTCCTCTGTGTCTTTCTTTTTTCCCCCAAAGAATTATTTTACTTAACTTCGGTTACTTACTTATTTTTTAAGAGAGAGGGACAGAGCAAGAGAGAGAGAGAACGTGAGAAAGCAAGCTGCCAGTTCTGGGACTTGAACCATGGACGGCCATGTGGGAGTCTAGTGCCCTTAACCACTACGCCACCTGCCGGCCCCAGCCCTCTGTGTCTTGTCCAAGGCATCTCACCCATTCAGGTATTCAAGGTCTCTATGAACTGAAGTGCTAGGGTCAAGCTGGGGATCCAAAGAAAATAATAATAGCAAATACTGCTACTACGAATAACCTCGATGCTGCCTCTGCACGGAGAGGCCTTGTGCACTTGTCGCGAGTGGCATTTGTGACTTTGGCTCACTCCCTGCTCTCAAGGAACACACGTTCCAAATATTCTTTCAAAAACTGCTGGTTATGGGGTCCAGCAGGTGGCATAGTGGTTGAGGTGCTGGACTCCCACATGGTCAACTGTGGTTCTAGTCCCAGACCTGGTGGCTTGAAACTTACATGGGATGCGTGTGCATGCATGTGCACCCAAAATCCCAAGAGGAGAATGGAAGAGAAGGGATTGTGGCATGGCCATCCCTCCCTGGGGCATGGTTTCTCACTTTCTCTGTGTTTCCAGAGAGTGCACGTGCCCTACAGCAAAAATTGTTCTCTTAAAACAAACAAAAAATTGCTCGTGATGGAGTGGGGTGAAGAGAAAACGACCCCCCCCAATGGGACATGGTCACACCACAATTCCCCTCTTCTCCATTTCTCCATCTCTCAAGGATTTGGGCATACATGCACACACACACACACACACACACACACACACACGTCCAGTGTGTTTTTTCAAGCTCCTGAGGCTGAGATTCGAACCAGGGTTGACCACGGTCGGCCATACGGGATCCAGCTCCCTCCACACAGCCCTTAACTTCCATGCTATGGGGCTGGCCTGTGGAGCACACCCAGGGGAGGTGGAAACGCAGGTGGATTTCAGCTGGGAGAGCCAGGTGCTGCCCTCCAGGAGATGTTGGGCCTGCCTCTGGTGGGGCTGCATCCCCCTGAGAGTGCCCACGCCCTTCTCCAGGCTCCCAGTGGGAAGCCAGGTCTCAGCAGGGCCCTTAATAAAAAGCAAAAGACAATTAGGGACTTGAACAGATGCCCGTGTGTGGGCCAAGTGAAAAGGTCTCTGGCAGGGGGCGTTTTCTGGGCCAGCACCATCAGGCTCTCTTCTGTCCCCCAGAAGGGCCGTTAGGGGCCCAGACACAGGATGGAGCCGGCAGAGGACCTTGCTACACAGGAATAGCGGCGGCAGGACATCCTCAGAGAAGCATTAACAAGATTTTCTCTCCTTCCCTTCTGCCCATCCCTGGGGGAAGATGGAAAGGGGCAGAAGACAGAAAAAAAGAAAAATTTCCAGGCTCTGGGCCTAACCAGGATGTGGGATGCTGGGTGGGGTGGGGGGAGAACAAGTGAGCTGATGGCTCAGCCCGGGGCTTAATCAGGAGTCAGAGTCTAGCCCAGGACGGTCTCTGTCCCAGGCAGGACTAGTTGGGGCGTCGCCCTCAGCCCCTGCTCTGGCACTGTCGCTGCCACTTTCTAACTTGAAGTCTCGCACAATTCATCCCGCCTCCAGGAAGCTTGGATTCCTCCCCTGTGGAGTGGGAGCAGGGCGACCTCCCAGTGTGTGTGCAGGGCTGCCCGCAGGGGCCCTCTAGCAAGGTCTGGCCCACAGGGCTCCCTCCTTCCTCCTCCCCAGCTCCCAATTCCCTCTCCTACTCAGGCCCTTGAAGACACCTGGGGTCCAGCTCGCTCTGCCCCCCCCCCTTCCAGCAGCAGCCCCAGGATGGGCTCCTTCCCTCCCCTGGGGCCCACGCCTTCCCCTAAGCTGCAGGCCAGGATCTTTCCTTCTTTACTCAGCCTGCATCCCCAGCA